ATTTAGGTGTTCAGATTGACAAAACACAGAAGGGGTTTAGTCTTTCACAAGAGGATAAAACTGAACAAATTTTGCATCATTGCAACATGAAGGATGCTAACACAACAAAGACACCCATGCAAACAGATTTTCACAACTTAACACATGAAGCAAGTCCTGAGTTCGAGAATCAAACACTTTATCGTTCAGTTATTGTGTCACTGTTGTACATTAGTAGTTGGACCAGACCCGACATTGCACTTAGTGTTAATCTCTTATCTCGACACGTAGGTAAGGCAAAACAGTTTCATTGGTCATGTGTTAAGAAATTATTGAAATACCTAAAACACACTAAACATATGAAGTTATTGTTAGAACCAACACATACTGATTATGCAGAATTATGTTGTTATGCAGATTCTAATTGGGCGAGTGATAAGAAATCACATAAAAGTATTTCAGGTTATATGATGTTCTTAAATGGATGTCCTGTTTATTGGCAAGTGCGTAAGCAGAATTTTGTTTCTTGTTCATCTACCGAAGCTGAATATGTTGTGTTTCAGATGCAGGTAATTCTCTAATGTGGTTTGATGCTTTGGTCACAGATATCTGGGCACGTCCAATCTGACCAATCACCATGATGGAAGACAATGAATTGGTGGTTTATATTTCTGAATCACATTTCACAGGTTCTAGGTCCAGACACATTGACATCCGTTATCAAAACATAAAACAATTAGTGAAAAAAGGTTTTGTAAAATTGCAGTATGTATCTACACATGATCAAATTGCTGATATGCTCAACAAACCGCTTCCAGCAGCTCAACACGAGTATCTGCGTAAGAAGATGTGCCTTATTTGATGATGTCCTGATATTCGCTCAACTGGCAAAGAAGGGGTTGTCACTGCGTTTTTGTATTTACCAGATGAGTTTTTATTTTTGAACTTTCAGACTTACTGTAGCTTGCCAAGTTCTTATCAGTAGCTAACTGCACATGTCCACATTCCTTCACGTTCTTCTATCTTTCTTTTGTTCTCTGGCCAAGAGAGGTGGCCGGGAAAGCTGCCAAGATGTAACTAATTAGATTAGTAAGATGTTTTATTTTCTTTATAACAAATAAATGAGTTTTTCTTAGAAAATATATCTTCAGGTTTATTTTCTTAAAGTATACTTCAAGGGAAGGTCACGATCCATTCTCTAATCAAGGTGCAATTACCCAAAAGCAGAATGGGATTAATTGCCACCCTGACAGTCCACTATCACCACTATTGTTTATTCTGACTCTAGAAATCCTAAACAGAAATATTAGATGAAATGATGAGATAAAAGGGATGAAAATTAAAAGAGGAGTATAAATTACAAGCGTTTGCAGATGATTTGGTATTCATTATAGAAGAACCACAAACAACAGGCCCTAAACTATTAGAACACATAGAAAGATATAGAAAAGTCTCTTGTTTGAAAATAAACAAAGACAAAACAAAAATCTTGATGAAAAATACAACAGAAAAACAAAACAGAGAGATAAAAGAAAAGTTAGATATACAAGTTGTGAAGAAAGTTAAATATTTGGGAGTACATTTAACTTCAAAATGTGCAACAATAAAGGAAGAAAACTATTATAAATTAAAACAACAAATTGAAAAAGATTTGGAAAAATGGAAGAATCTTCAACTATCACTTATGGGACGGATTGCATTGATAAAGAAGAACATATTACCAAGATTGTTATTTATATTCCAGATGGTGCCAATAAAAAATGAAAAGACATACTTTCATCATCTGAATAAAATAATGAGGAAATTTATATGGCAAGGGAAAAAAGCAAGAATAAGTTTGAAAATGCTACAAGACACGAGCTTGCGAGGGGGATTTGATTTACCAAATTGGGAATTATATTACCAAGCAGCAACATTGACATGGCTGAAAGAATGGATTGAACTAAGAAATATAAGGCTGTTAACACTGGAAGGGCATGATTTGCAACTGGGCTGGCATGCTTTTTTGTGATATGGTAGAAATAAGATACATACATACTTTCATAGACATTATATAAGAAATGCATTTCTTATATAATGTCTATGAAAGTATGTATGTATCTTATTTCTACCATATCACAAAAAAGCATGCAACCCAGTTGCAAATCATGCCCTTCCAGTGTTGGTTTGGGAGAAGGTTAGAGATAAATACTATGTGAAAATACCAATATGGTTATCAACGATGGAAGCTTTAATACACCCAAATGTTTTTAATTTTGGAAATATTGTTAGATATAAGGATTTATTAACGGATAAGGGGGAATTGAAAGAGAAACAAGAATTGGAAGAACAGGGAATTGAGACAGATTGGTATATGTATATGCAGATAACAACTAGATATGAAAAAGATGCTTAGTTACATGGTTTTTATTTGGAAAAGACTGAATTGGATAGGATACTCACAGGAATGGAAGAAAATTTAATACATTTTTTTTATAAGTTTTTGCTATATATTGAATTGGAGGAGGACAGGTAAAAGAAACAATGATAGCTTAGGGAAGAAATTTTGGACATTCAATTGAACTTGAAAAATGGCAACAACTATAGGAAAGGAACTATGAATTAAAGATGTCCACCGCATATAAGGAAAACCAATATAAAATGTTTTATAGATGGCATATGCCACTGGAGAAGTTAGCAAAAATGTTTAAAGACAAATCAGCGAACTGTTGGAAATGTCACCAACTACCACACCAACTACCAGGATCCTATTATCATATGTGGTGGACATGCCCTGAAGCAAAAAACTATTGGAATAAAATTAAAACCTGGTTGGAAGAAATGATACAGCTACATATTGAACTTAAACCAGAGTTGTTCCTATTGGGTATCCGTTCTGAAAAAATTAGTAAGGAAAATATTTACTTGATTATACATGTAATAACAGCTGCAAGAATTGTTTATGCTCAAAATTGGAAAGCAGAGAAAATACCTTTGGAAGAACAAGTAATAAAAAAATTTTTAGACTGTGCAGAAATGAATAGATTAACTTTGATGATTAAGGATAGGGAAGAATTAGAATACTTTAGAATATGGAATTATTTTTATTGCTGGTTGGAAAAGATATAAATGATTAATTTTATAACTATGTGTAAAAATTTGATGGCAAGAATATGGTTATAGGAATGAACTTTTATAGTGGTTTGGATGACGATTAAGATAGAAGAAACTGTTGGAAGAAGAAGAATAAAAAGAACTGAAGAAGTCAATAAGAGCCTTGGTACTACAGTGGTTTAAAGCACCCTGTTATTAACACAGCTGCCTGCAATTTACTGCTGGTTCGAATCTCTCCAAGGCTCAAGGTTGACTCAGCCTTCCATCCTTTCTAAGGTAGGTTAAATGAGGACCCAGTTTGTGGGGGCAATAAGCTGACTTTGTATAAATATACAAAAGTATGAAGGCTATTGCTTAACGCACTGTAAGCCGCCCTGAGTCTCCGGAGAAGGGCGGCATATAAATCAAATTAAAAAAAAAAAAATACTGAGATGTCACAGGGGAGGGATGATTGATGTATTAAATGTTTGTTTGTCTTAAAAAATAAAAAACTCTTTAAAAAAAGATTTGCGGCATTGTGCCGTGAGTGACTCCACCGGCCAAATGAGCCTTGTGGTGTTCTGCAAGTGGCTCCACTAGTGCAAGAAGCCTCACAGCATTGTGCCACGAGCAGCTCCACTGACACGATGAGTCTCATTGGGCAGGTGGAGTCGTTTGTAGCACGCTGCAAGGCTCGTAGCGTCGATGAAGCTGCTCAGGGCTGAACGCTGCGAGGCTGATAGAGCAGGTGGAGCTGCTCACAGGAGAAAGCTGCTCATAGCAGAACTTTTTGCCCAGATGGACAAATGACAGAGATTCAAAGTTTCATGTGTTTACAAAGGGGACGGTTTGAAATGATGGTTTGCAAGCAGACAAAGCGTTATTTCCCTCTGGGCAAAAAGTGTTTGGGTACCTACCACTGGCCCCGCCCTCTCCGTCCCACAGACAGGGGCCAAGCTTTTGGCATGCTCCAGCCTCCAACCACCCTGTCAGAAGGGCAAAGTGCCCCTGCAAGGCCCCCCAGCCGAGAAGTGTTCCAGCAGAAGCTGGGGCAGCAGGCAGAGCTGGTGGAGGCCAGGGCATGCTGAGAACTTGGTTCGTTGCAACTGCAGGCAAGCAGACAGTGGGACAGAGAAGGCGATGCCAGCAGTAGCTGTGCTCCCACTCCCATCAGCCCCCGCACTCACTGCCTCCTGCACTTAACAAAAATAAGACCTCCCTGAAAATAAGCCTGAGTGCTTATTTTCAAGCCCAAAAGAAAATGAGACTGGGTCTTATTTTCAGGGAAAAGCGGTATATACCCATTGTGCATACAGGGTTTTATTGATTGATAACTATGATTTATAAGGTTGCTTGAAATACAAATAAGACTGCAGATATGAGTATTTATCTATCAATCTGCTATCAAAGTTCATCGTATTAATCATCTTTGATTAACATAGAATATTCAATAATATTACACATTTGACATGATAGATATGTTTTTATACTATTAGAAATGTGTTTGGGTTCTTAGTTGAGGTGAGAAATAGACCAGAGAAACCAGTGCTGAATTCTTCCAATGCCTGTTCCTTTATTCTGGAAAGATAATTTTTGTTCCTTTAAATGCATATCTAAATGTCTATGGAGATTCTCAGTCATCCATGTCATGGTTGTCCCAAAGATGCTTTTTTCAAGAGGCAACTGGACTTCTTTTGTTTTTCCTTGAAGATGTTTCGCTTCTCATCCAAGAAGCTTCTTCAGAACTTTATATAGATAAAACTAGTATATTATTGTTTATTATTCTTATAAGGATTTTCTAAACATGTTATCTGCTTCTACTAATTATTTTGACCATTATATCAAAGCTGTGCTGGTTGATACATTATATCACTGACCCTATGTCAAGAGATCACACAAATTATAAAATAAATAAATAAATAATCAATCCTGGGGAGAAAAAGACTTACTCTCAGCATGTCTCTTGTCTTGAATCTGTCAAGGAGTTGCTGGTAATGTCTGTCAGTCATTTGTCGCAATAATGACAAAAGACATGAAACAAACTCCCCCTAAAAGAAATAAAAAAAGAAAAGTTTTACAGTCTTGAAGGGATGAAAAAAGAATTGTTTTTCAATTACCATTATATATATATAATGGATAAGTAGAAGAAATCCCCTTTTGAAAGATTCTGCTTAATCCAAAATATTTTGATGTTCTTAGGCTACATTTCTAAACTGACATATTTATCAGTAGGCACATTAAAGAAATACTTTGATTTCCTGGGCACAACTTCTTGTTGAAGGTATATTCATGTGTTCTCATATTCAATATTTTAAAATGAGATTAGTTTGACATATATACTAATACTATGACATATATAATAGTAGCTGGAAAAAAAAAGCAACTGAAAATAGCCTAGCAATTATAGAAATTATTCCAGTGAGGAAAGAAACAGTAGTTCACAAGACAGAAGGAGTCATTATATTAACATATATCAGATACTTCCAAGGCCATGAAGAGAATGTTCAAATAACTTTTGACACAGAAAGACAGGAGGAAAAATTCTAGAATTTTAATTAAGAAACCCAGACCTTTATAAGGTCTTTAATTTCTATATGCTTTGGTGAGGACAAATGCATAACTTCAGTCCTGCCTGCAATAAAAATAATACTCTTGTGCAGGGTGAAATCTAAAAATTTTCCCTACTGATTCTGTGGGTGTGGCTTGGTGGGGGTGTGTGTCCTGTGACTGAGTGGGCATGGCCAACTCAATGTCACTCACAGCCATGCCCACATGACCCACCCCCCCACCAAGCCATGGCCACAGAACATGGTAGGAAAACTTTTTAAATTTCTATTCTGCCTTTTCCCTTTTTGTGAGATGCCTGCAGCTGCATCCTCTCTTTTTTTCAGTGCTCCTGGAGGCGCTTCTTGCACGGAAAGATGCAGTGGCTGCAGGCTTCTTGCAAGCGAAAGTTACCGGAGCTGCTCCCCTTCTTGAACATGGCCTTTCCCCAGAGCCACTGCCCGCTCGCCACCAGCTTTCCCTTCGCTTTGGGTCGGGGGCTGGGGGCCAGGGACATGCCATTCCCTGGGGCCCTGGAGCCACTGCCTGCTTGCCTCCTGCTTCAACCAGGTTGGGGAATGCACCATTCCCCAACTCTGGTCTTGCCCCAGAGCCGCCGCTCGCACTCCCTTTGCCACACAGTGTGTCCTTACCTTCCTCCCGCAGCTGGCTGTCAGGAAAGGCAAGCACTGAAATATGCAGCGGCTGCAGGCTTCTTGCAAGTGAAAGTTACCGGAGCCACTCCCCTTTTTGAATATGCCACCATTATCGCCGCCAGTTCCATGCCCCGGCCCCCAGTCCAGAAGAAGGTTGGGGCAGAGGCATGGGGGAGGCAGAGGCGATCCCAATGCACCAGCCCCTTCGTCCCACTGTCCCTTGGCTTGCCTGAAGCTGCACCGAATAAGCACCAGCAGAGGGCCTGCCTCCCCCATGCCAGTGCTGCTGCGCAAGCCTCAAGAGGGAAAAAGCAAAGCAGCTGACCACGGAGCTGCCGGCTTCAGGGAAGTGGCCCAACAAGCAGAAGCGCTGCACCAAGAAAGAGAAGAACAAGAGGGGCCAGTGGGCTGCAGAGGCGAAGGCAAGCTCTGGAACGGCAGCTCCGGGAGAGAGGGCAGATGTCCCGGGGTTACACATGCAGTGCCACCACCACCGCCTCTCTTGGCCCCAGTGCAGCAACTGCCTCTCCCACAAGGGCCGGCTGCCCACCCACTGGCTGGGCTGGGCCGCAAGTGGCATGTCTCCAATCATGGGCTTTTTAAAAAAAAAATTCAATTTTTAAATTTTTTTAAAATTTTTAATTATTTGTTCAAATTTTAATCTTTTTTCAACTTTAAATATTTTTAATTTTAAATTCTTTTTTCAATTTTTAAATCTTTTTCAAGTTTAAAATTCTTTTTTCAATTTTTCAATTTCTTTTGTCAACTAAACATTTGAAAAAAAATTATTTATTTTAATTCTTTAGAAATGTTTACATTTTTAATCTAAGAGGAAAAAAATAAAGAATCACAGAAAGAAAAATAGGTGCTTAAAACAGGGAAGATAGAGATGAATTTTTTCAAGACAGAGAACAAAAGGTCAAGAAGCCTTGTAAATTGATACTTTGCAATAAGGAAAATACTTAATTTTTAGAATTTTTTTATTTTTTTAGCAAACAAAGAAAAAAAAGTAATGGAAATAGAGAGTGCCACTATAGTGACTTGCAAAGTGTGTCATATGTTTCAGCTTATGCCCACACAAAACCAAACTATGTATGTATCAAATGTGAACTACTTGAATTATTAGAAGAAAAAGTAAAGTGTCTAGAGGCAACTCTAGCCACTCTGAAACTCAATGAACAAAGTGAGAAATCCCAACCTAAACAAGAAAACTACACCAAAATATAACACAATAGGGAGCAAACAGCTTCTAAAAATGACCCCATATATGAACATAAAGAAGAAAACTGATACACCCAAATGGAACACAATAGGGAACAAACAAGCTTCTGTAAAAAAAGCCTACATATGTATCTAAAGAACAAGACCAATGGAAACATGTCACTTTTAGAAGGAAACAACAACACCCAAGAGCAAAACCCCTACTAACCCAGCCCACTCCAATGAAGCCCCTCTGGAACTGAACAATCGCTTTCGTAGCCTCCCACTGGAAGAAAATATACAGACACTTACAAAAGAGCATTCATCAATAGTTTCTAAAAAAGAGGCACAACCCAGCATTCTTGTGACAGGAAGAAAAGTATTCCAGACTTCCCTAGGGAAAAAAAGGTGAATATTGGTGATACGAGATTCAGTTCTTAAGGGAACAGAAAGTATAGTCTGCAGATTAGGCAGTCCATCTAGGGAGTTATATTGTCTCCCTGGAGCAAAAATCAAAGACAGGAAATAATGGATGGAAACTATTCAAAGAGAAAAGCAACCTCAAATTAAGGAAAAACTTCCTAACAGTGAGGACAATTAACCAGTGTAAAAGCTGTCCTTCAGAAATCGTGGGCTCTCTATCACTGGAGGTTTTTAAGAAAAGACTGGACAGCCACCTATCTGAAATGGTATAGGGCAGCGGTCACCAACCGGTGGTCCGTGGACCACTGGTGGTCCGTGAGAAAGTTTTGGTGGTCCACAGAGAAATTGTTGCATTTCTCTCAGGGAGCCCAGCCAAGGTTTCCTGCGCTGCTCGCGCTTCAGCGCTTTGACTCCCAGAGACAGGATGGGGTCCATCAGGCAGTTAGCTTGGCCGCCTGTTAGCAGAGAGAAGCAGCCGGAGTCAACCCTGGCTTTGCTGTCCATTGTAGATGCTAGATCGGCCCCCTGCAAACTCTCGTCTCTCAAGGAGCACTCGCTGAAGCGGCACAGGAAACCTTGGCCGGGCTCCTCGCAAGACGAGAGTTTGCAGGGGGCCAATCTAGCATCTGCAATGGACAGCAAAGCCAGGGTTGACTCCGGCTGCTTCTCTCTGCTGTCGTGCTTCCTGGATGCGGCTTACTGCTCAGAGCCCCAAGTGCCCCCTCATCAGTCCCCCCGCAGTAGCTCTCCTCCAGCCGGCAAGTCGAGCCCAGTGCTGGCTCTCGTATGCCAAGCCAAGCCCTTTGTGTACTTCAAGCCATCCCCCATTAGGGGGATCCCACAAAGCCCTCACCACCCCTTCCATCCTTTTGCCCCCAGCCAGCCTTTTGGATGAGGTGGAAATACTGGATCTTCAGTGGTTGGGTGGCTACAGCCAGGAAGAAAGGAAGAAGAGCAGCAGCGGTTCCAGGAGGAGGAGGAGGCGGAAACCTCCTTCTCCTGGAGATATCTTTGAGGTATCTTTGCCCGACTTTTCCTCACAAAGCCAACTGGCTCTTCCCCCTTCTTTCCCTGTGGCTCTTTCTGGGGGAAAAAAAGACCCCTTCCTCTTTTTATACCCAGCTGGCGCTTTCCAAAGCTGGCTTTTCCAGTGTTAGCTGCCAAAATCCCCTTTGATTGTGATTTTTAAAAATTATTATTATTTACATCAGCTGTCCCTTTCTAGACATCTCTGTTTTTCTCATTAATTTTTTCCCCAATCATTACTTTCCCAAGTCCTCCATTTGCTTCCAACCTGCTTTCTTTGCCTGTGCAATTTAAAAACAAAACAAAGATTTAGAAACACCGGGCTTTCTATTGGATTGGTGGATAAATCCCAGGCATACATATGCCTATACTTTTAAAATGGAAATGAGTAGAAATTCTTTAAAAAATTTTAGCACAAAGTGGGGGAACTGAGATTTATTAGCTTTGCTTTCTTTGCTGCATTGCCTTGGTAATGTTGTGCAAAAAATAATAATGGAGCACCGGTTAAGATTCTAGGTTGATGCTGATTAAATTTAAAATAGGACAGTTATGTAATGTAGGGAAGAAATGATAAAATGGAAAAAAGCTGTAGAGCTTCCTGGATGCAGTTTACCACTCTGAGCCCCAAACAGCAGGAGACAAGGGTTCCACCAGCTGGCACAAATATACCATGGTGAAGGCGGAATGCTGATGCCATGCAAATGCAAGTGGCACTTCACTCCTGCACCTTCCAGCCATCGCCACCGCCACTTCAGCCTGCTTGGGCCCCCCCACCCTCCCTCTGTAACAGCACCATTATCTCATTCAGGCCAGCAAGGGCTGTGCTCCTTTTCGCATGTTGCACCACCTGCAAAGTTGCACATTGCACATGCCACCCCCTATGGCAGAGATTTCCAGCCCCACCATGGCCTGGTCCCATTTTCCAAAGCTGTGGTAGTCACATGACTGGCCCTTTGGTCATCCTGGAGCAGCTCCTCCACCCGGGTGCACTGGCCTGTCAGGGAGCAGGCAGCTCCACTGCAGGCTGGTGCATCCGGGTAGAGGAGCTGCTCTGGGATGACCAAAGGGCCAGTCCTGTGACTACCACAGCTCTGGAATATGGGACTGACTTTCCCACCAATGTCAGCAAGCCACCGTCAGTCTGCCTGTCTTCGTTTTCCTTCACTCAGATTGACCAAGCTTCTTGAGAGAAGGAACAC